TGCACATTTTTTAAATTTGAGAAAAAAATAAAACGGGAAAATGTTTTCAACTGCCTGAACATTTATTGAAAATTGTGAGCAAATATTGAAACTGAAGAATTTCGGAACTCCTGGAAAAAAAATGAAATCATGCAATTTTTTTTTAAATTTGCAAACAATTTTTTAAAGCGGGAACATGTTTTGTACCGCCGAACATTTTTTAAAATTTGTGAACAAAATTTGAAACTGAACAATTTTGAAACTCAACAACGAAAATGTGCACATTTTTTTTTAAATGTGCGAACAATGTATTTAAAACAGGAACATGTTTTGAACCACCGAACATTTTTTGAAATTTGTGAACAAAAATTTGTAACTGAACAATTTCAAAACTCCTGAAAATGTGAAAACGTGCACATTTTTGGAATTTACGAACAACTTATTTAAAATAGGAACATTCTTTGAAACTAGAACAATATTTTAGGAATGGAACATTTTCTGAATTTATGACCAAAATTTGAACTCACAAATTTTTTTAAAAATTTGAACATTTTTAAGTTGTTGGAACATTCATGTAAAAAAGTTGAAGTAAGAAAAAATAAACTCGAAAAAGGAAAGAGAAACAAAAAAACAAATAGAAAAAAAGGAAATAGAAAGAAGAAAAAGAAACAGCACAAAAGGAAAAAGGTTAAACGAAAAAAACATAAATTAAAAGGAAAACTGGTCAAAGAAAATAAACCGGTTCAGGGAACTTTCTGGAAAGTTCTCAAAACCGGATGATATAGTACAGGAAGGGCGTACGTATAATGGGCCGGCCCATCGCGTCGCTCGGTCGCTTCGCCTGTGCGAAGCGCCGACAGCTTGACGCAGCGCGCGTCAAATAGGGAATTCCGCGGAGAATTCCATCCTGTCATTAGCGCGTGGGTGGATTAATGCGCCGCTGCCGTCCTGTGCACTTGCCGCCTACCTGCCTCTACTACCCCTGCCCAAGTGTCCATCATCAGGTTCATATACGACAACGCAGGCTGATTCTCTCGCCCAAGGTTAATATACAGTTTACTATCCCTCTCAGTTCTCATCTTGTATCGTTATATTTGGTGTGTGATTTGTGATGCATTGCCATGCTAGGGCATAAGCACCCGCTCATTTGAAGCTCAATGATTCGTCGAGCATAGCTGCATCAGTAAGCAGCGATCATTGTCACACGTCTGCCAATGGCGACCAGCAGACCTACTTCGACCTAGCGGTAGAGGGCACATGTAGGGACTATATTTGTTTCTCTAGGTATGTATTTTGACAACATCAATCAATTTTTCCTAGTACAACGACAAAATTTCATAATACCAGTGGTGATTTCATTCAAACCTGTATGCAATGACTGTCCTTGTCTATTCATTTTAAATTTCCATATGGCAATGTTTGTAGCAAGGCATGTCATGTCATATTTCGGAGTAGATTGAATATTAACTTCGTCTACTGGGCGCGTGTGTGGAATTATTGACCTAATAGCTAGACACGCTCCTGCTTAAAAAGAGTAAAATAAAATTGTGTTATCTAGGCAAATTTAGATGTGAATGATGCTTGGGTATAAAACAATTAGGTACTTTGTCAGGCAAAAAGGAAAAAAAATCTGGCTTCACTATCGTCTTGGCCCCCCCTATGGCTAAATCCTGGCTCCGCCACTGTTTGGGTCCATGAGTCCAAAAGCGACAGCACAACGTGAGGATGCAAACGTAAATTATATCCATCACATGTCTGTGTGGATGCATTTCCGCAACAAATTTGGGCCCGATTGCGTCACATGGACATTGGACGGATGCGCCACACGTTCACTTGGTGTCTGCCTCGGACCCGCACGCCGGCCCTCCAACTACCTCCCGCAAGTCCTATGTAATTCACGCTTGCAGGCATGGCCACAAGGCCGGTAGCTCGTCAGGGTGCTGCGACACGGCCAACATAACCATGGCGCCGCCAAGTGCTAAGTCGCGAGCACGCTTTCACCAATGCATAGGTGTGTTAGTGCCGTGGCCCAGTGTCAACCTATCGCATGGGTGGCATCTCAACCTTTTTTTAGACACTCTCGCTAAGCTTTATTTATGTCATCGCAATGTTTACAGGAATAAAAAGAAGACCAAGCAAAACTCTACCTTCAATGTTTACAGGAGTATTTGTTAAAATTCCAAGGTCCGCCCCAAGTGCGAAATGCGTTGGTCCGCGTTGGGCGCAGGTAGACAAAACCGTACTTTGGCGTCCGCATGGCTATACCCAAACGGATAAAACGCGGAAAACATTCAAGCATCCGTTTGGATCGGTGCGTTGGAGTTCCCCTTAGCCTCGATCATCTCCGATGACACCCACGACCGGAAAACATTAGCTTGCTAGGGAGAGACACAAAAAGCGCTAAACCCAGAGAACCGTGTGGTCAAGGGTTAATTTGACTAAAAAGGCACTTGGTTTTATGAAAGATGAGGAGAAGCTATTCCGCAGCTATTGAGGAGGCCGCAGATCTGGTGGTTCGGTTTTAGGCCGTTGGCGAGATCACAGATTATTTCTATATATTTTTTTTGGAAAAAGTCTGAAATAAACCTTCAACTCGTAGTCCAAGTTTGAATCAAACCTTGAACTATTAATCCTTGAAATCAGCACCCTAACCTTATCGATCCCGGTTAATCCCCGACCCTACACCATTCTGGACATGTTTGTCCAAGCGGGAAAAGATAATCCCGACCTGGATTAGACATTTTTCTCACCAACGACTATGTCACACATTGTCTTCTTCACCTAATCTCTCTCTCATATGCAAGGCGAGCTCGTATGCTAGCGTGTAGCGTGTAGCCTGTGCGCCCAGACTACTACGGAGATGTATGAGGTGAGCCGTTGATGCTAAGGGTCACATGTCACAGCAGGCACTCTGAGCTCGTATATGACATCCTTGGAGCACATGAAGAAATTGTTCAAATCTGTCTTGGGCTCGTATACGACATCCTTGGAGCACATGAAGAAATTGTTCAAGTCTGTCTTGGGCTCAAGCGCGGCAAACGCATCCGCGAGCTACTGTCGGAGCACGCCGACGGGCGAGAGGAAGAGGACCGCCGCTCTACCTCTAGCTTAGAGCATCTTCAACAGGTGCGTGGTAGCGCGGCACGCTAAATTATTTTTCGGCGTCGAAATAACATTAGCGTGCGCAGAAGAGTGGTTGCTTTATCATACCCTGCAAAATTTAGCGGCCCGCTATAGCGCTTCACCAGGCGCGGAAAAAACTAACGCGCGCTTGGAATTTTTTTGAAACAATACATACGAAAAAATATATGAAACAACACATAATTTAAAACTTTAAATTTTATAGCATAGTTCCTGAAACCACAAGCCAGTTCATACGATGCTAATAAAAATAAATAAAACTACTCCTTGTCCTCCTCGATGGTGTAGTCCGACGACGTAAACGCATCGAGCCACCGTTGGAGGCGGCGATCCTCGTCGCTGATTAGTCACGGGGGAGGCGCGAGCTCCTGCGCCTGCTCGCGCGTCCGCACGTCAGTGAAGTTCCTCTGCGACCGAGGCCGCCCGGGGCACCACACCGCTGCATCGTACACACGGGCAGCCTCGTGGGCAGTCTCGAACGTGCCAAGCCTGAGGTGTGTATCGCGGGAGCAGATCTCCGTGTAATACACGCCAGAGGGGCGGGCGGACGCCGCGGTAGCCCGACCTGCTCCGGGGGTGCGGCGGCATGG